AGGCTAATATTCAATATGCTGAAGATAATTTTGATTTTTTTATTTTTTTTTTGAGACAGGGTCTCTTCCCTGTGGCCACTCTGCGGCCCCAGCTGGAGTGCAGTGGCGTCATCACAGCTCACTGCAACCTCCAACTCCTGGCCTCAAGTGATCCTCCCGCCTCAGCCTCCCAGAGTGCTGGGATTACAGGTGTGCGCCACCACGCTTGGCAATTTTTACTCTTTAATAATAAAAATATCCTGAAAGCCTGTCATCTACTCAATTCGTAAAATAAGTACAATCTTATTAATAAGCAAATCACTTCAAATTACAAAATAATCCTGTTAACAACAGACACCACACAAACTGGCCTCAGGGGCAGACGCCCATTCCGGCTTTTCCTCATCTCGAGGCTTGACTTACTTGACGAAACCGTTTTACAGTTCCACACCCCACGCGCAAAGTGTGTCACCTTCTCACACGTTAAGGAAGCGTCCCAGTGGACAGAAGAGGAACTGGTTAACCTGGAAAACCAGTGTTTACTCGGCACTCACAGGCCCTGGTGTGAAAACTCATCGCCGTTTACCTCACAGTCTTAAAAAGGCAAGGAGTATTTTCAAAGATGATAAAACAAAACAGCAAGACAGTGGTTAAAGGGAACAGGCCCACAAGAGGACAAAAGTTGAGGGATGGGAACAGACCCAAGGTGGCTTAGTAACCATGGCCCCTGGGTCACACAGAGGGGTGAGGCGGGCCTGCCCACAGCAAGCACCCGGACCCGCGCCACTCCTGACGCACGCTCGAGGTCCGAGGGCCTCACACAGACAGGCAACGCCTGCACGACTAGGGAGATCATCAGAGAAACAAGAAGGGGTGCAACAGAGCAGGAAGGAGGTCACCACCTCCGTCCCCGAGGCTCCCACAGTAGCTCTAATCTCCACCTCAGCTTCTGTCTCACTGAGCCACGGGCCGTCAGTCTTCCAAATTACTTTCTAAAGATCCTACAAGGTTCCAAAATTTGGTTGGGGGGAAGGCAAGGAGTAGCATTTTGTCGTGTTAAAGAGGGCAACTAAACCGGGACACTGAACCCTGGAGACCCCGGTTAAGTGAGCACTAGTGTGGCTGCAGTGACCGGGACAGTGTCTGGCCTACCCTGGGGGGCCGATGTCGGCATTAAGGAAACCACAAATTGTCACAATCTGTAGACTAAAACCTCCTACAACGCCTGTGCCCCCAAGAAATGTGGGGAACGAACAGGACCACATCTTCGGGGAACGTGAGGAGCTGCGTGAACAGGAAATGCAGCGAGGACCTAGCGTGGCTCCCTGCGGGCCTGCCCGGTCTCCCCCGTGTCCCTGGCTCTGGGCTGGTCCTCCACCCCCGCCTGCTCGCGCTTACCTCTGCGGAGGAATGTAAGGAGCACACACGGCCGGCAGGACGGCGCACGGCTCAGCCAGCGCCTTCTTAGCCTTTTTTGCTTTCTTCCTGACCTTAGATGCGGACCTGACTGCTTTGACTGAGCTCTCTTTCCGACAAACACCGTTTTTCATCTCAACGTCCCCGTAAATGTTCAGCGGCCTCCGGGTGCAGCCCGGAGGCGTGTGCACGTCACAGTAGGCGGTCTTCCTGACGGAGAAGGTGGTGCTGCCACCACTCAGCTCCTTCACGGGCTCCATCTTCATGTAGAGGCCGGCCCGCTGGGCGCACGTCACGTGGAAGGCCGTGTAGCAGTTCGCCTTGTGGCACTGGATGCAGGCGCCCACGCCCTTCTGCTTGCAGAGGTAGCACGTCAGTTTCCACCGGGCTGGGGGGATGTTCCTCACGCCGTCGATGGGCTCGATGAACACCGTGTTGGCAAAGCCAACCTCCGGGATCCACAGGGCACACACCACATGGCCCCAGCGGTCATCGTCTGTCTTTTTGAAGGCACCGCCCTTGTTGGGGCAAAGCACGCAGTCGGCCGGCCGGGCCCGGGACTGCAGGCAGTGACGGCAGAGCCACTGGCCCTCGGGGATGTAGGGCACCCCGTAGCACTCCTGGTGCACGGCCAGGTTGCACATGTCGCAGAAGAGGATCACGTTGCTGTTCTGACACTCCCCGTCCATGCAGATGCAGCACACGGCGTCCTCATCGATCAGGGACTGCTGCTCGCCCTGCTTCTGGTTCTCACAGTACGACTCCTTCTCAAAGCGGTCCATCAGGAACTCAAACATGCTCTGCGACACCGCAGAGACGCAGTCGCCTTTGCGCTTCTCGTTGACGATCTCGAGCCAGGCGTAGTCCTCCTCGTCCATGTCATACTCCACCTCGTTGTCCAGCTCCTCAGCCGACTTCTCGATGAATTTGTAATACATAGGGGGCCTCCTGGGGGCGGAAGGCGGGCTGTACTCCACGATGCGCACCTTGGGCTCAGGGAGGGCGCTGGCTGAGGCCGGTGTGCCATGGGCACTGGGGAGAGCTTCATTTTTCTTTTTGACTCTGTTGTTTTTGTGACGCTTAGTTCTTAAGCAAACAGGTGGCCTCTCGCTATTTTCCTTATTGCTGTTGCATTCGCTCATTTCTTGAGCAGTGAGGTCATCTTCCAATATGATCTCCAGGGGATCAAAAATACTGATCCTGTGCAGGCGCCCTTCAATTTCTATCTCCACCATCCTCTGAGCTTGAGCGTACGTTAATGTCTCTCGAGTGGGGGAGTGTTTAACACTGCACGGGGAAGAGGGGTGCCTTGCTGCAGAGCCTCGATGACATCGTCCTTTCCTCCTCATTTGGTAATGATTACCTAAAATAAAATCAAGGACAGAGTTAATTCCGGTCAGGGTGACCAAAAACTTCATAAAACCAGGGTGATAAAAGACTTTATAAAACCATGAAAGTACACTTGGGCAGAGTCAACTAATCAACTCGTGGCTCAATCAAAACGGAACTCACAGCTAACATATTTCCGAGGTTTCGAAAACCACTCATCCCAGGACTCACAATCATACCCAACAACCCTCTGGCAGCGCACCATCGCCAGGCCTCAGAGTGACCCCAGGACCAGAGGAGAGAACAGCGGCACCAGAGGATGGCGTGGAGCAGCCATCCGGGCCTCTGCTGACCCGCGTCCCTGCAGGGCACCAGCACCCCACCACTCACCAGTCACCTTTCAGATCATGCCAACAGGCTACGCAGCCAATGGCAACACCCCTCCAGAGCAGCGGTCCCCGCCTGAACCCACCACCACAGGGCTGCTTTCCCGGCATGCAGAAGGTCCTCCAGGAAGCCCACACACAGGGCTGTGCCCGTGAAGCAGGCACATTCAGTGACTACTTGGTTCTGTCAAACACTCCCCCCAAACCCACTCTTTCCCCTCCCCACTGCGACCCAGGGGAGTGGCCCCGTGAGCCCAGTGCACAGTCCCTGCAGCATTCCTGCCAGGCCAGAAACAGACCACAGCCTGTGCATCCCCTCTGTGAACACACCCTCCGCATGCACAGCAAGGCGCGGGGCCACCAGCCACACCAGGACCGAGCCCTGTACTGGTCTCAGGTGACGTCTCCGCCCCAACAGGACCCAACCCACCTTCTGCAGAGCCTTAGCAGTGACCCCCATGGAAACGTCACAGGCCAAGCCTGCTTGCCTCTTCCCCTCGAGGGCATTCCTCAGCCCTGGCCTGACCACTGTGCAGGCCATGTCCTCCTCAAAACAAACCCAGAGACGTGCAACACACCAAAGGGCACCTCTGCTCTCTTCCTGGCACGCTTGGAGGTAAGATGCTCCGCTCTTGCTCCACAGTGAGGGCCGAGCCCCCAAGAGCCCCACACTGCCTGCAGAGCTCCCGGCTATGAAGGTGGCCAGCACCGGCTCAGATGCCTGAAAACCTAGCCACAGAGATCTATGAGAATGTGCTCTTTTAGGAACTGGGCAAAACCAGTGAGCTAACAGCCCATACCGCCACCTCCTTGTGGCGGAGACCTCGGCTGTCTGAACATCACTGACTACGTCTATTTTCAGTTTTCCCTGGAGTGGCCTGGTGTCTAGGAACCTCACGTGAAGACCTGCCAACTCTGGACCACCACCCACCAAGGCAGCACCTTAGGCAGTAACAATGAGGACACCTCAGCTCCTCCCTCCAAACAACCATGTTTTACTGACAAGCAGCAAAATGATTTCTTGTGACTCACAAGCAAATATTCCAAGCTGAAGCCCAAGGCCCCCTGTGGCATGTGGCCCTGCCATGTCAGGGAAGCCGGGCCTCGGCCCTGGGGTGAGTGGGACACCCACAGGAGCCTGGATGCACAGCCTGACGCTGACCTACTGGTCTTCGTGAAAAGACCTCAAAAAGCAGGCTTCTCTCAGAAAGTTCCAAAAGGAAAGCCCAGCAGATCCCAAGTGCACTTTTCAAGACAGACCCTTCAGATTGGGGTTTTCTTTTTCTGACTCAAATAGAAATTCACAGTTTATGCTGAAATTAGCAATTCCCTATACAGAGGAACATGGGAGAAAATGTGGTCAGCCAAACCCCAACTCACCTGCATGTCAGGGCCCTCCAGGAGCCCCCCAACCCTGGATTCCAGGGGAGCCATCAGCAGAACCACCACCCAGCTGGCCCTGGGCTAGCAGCAGCCCTACGATCCCTCCTGAGGTGACGGGGGTGCAGCCCCCGGGGTGTCAGCACTGCAGCCTGCACGGAGGGGACCCTGAGGCACCCAGGGACAGTTTCGCATGTTATTACTGAGGTGGGGCAGAAGCAACAGCTGGTTACTCACCAGATTAAAAACAAACATATAATTTTCCCCTCTACAGCAAAGTACCAAGAGCTCTAACTATAACCAGCCCTGCAAAACCCACTCTCCCAGGGAGCACTGAAGCTCTGTCTAACCATTTTTCTACAACGGGAAGAATCTAACCCGGTACTTAATGGTCACAGCAGCTCTGTAATTTGAAAACGTAATTGTGACGGGGAAGGAGGGCATTTAGCAGCACTGTCCAGCACAGTGACCAACGACCTCTTCTGCCGCATCATGTCCCCACGCTGACCGGCTCTGTACTTGGCCCTCTGTACAGCGACAAGCATCTCCACGGGGAGGGAGCAGCAAGGGCAACATGCACGCAAATAATGTTGTTAAATACATCCTAAAAAGCTTTGCGGGCCACAGTACTGACCAGCTACGTTTCCAAATCAGTTCATTTCCTGCCTGGCTTGGGACGAGCCAATGAAACTCTCACCGCTGTCGAGTGCATGGGAAAATGACACACCTCTCCCGCAGGCAGCCAGGACGGTGCTGGGCAGAGCAGGTGCCAACCAGGTAACTAAGTAACACCCTCATCCCATACCCCCATGACACCTGACGACAGGCAGCGGTGAGTGAGCTTCCTGGGACGATGGGAACGTTCCCGAGCGGAGGGTTGTTTCTGGGTGTATATAAATGTGTCAAAACTCAACGTACACCAACGGGAGTTGTACTTCCTGTAAATCACACCTCAGCAAAGTTACTTCTCACGAAAAGGCCCGAGAAAGCCGGCCTCCCGCGCTCCAGGGCCCGGCCGCGCCGCCGGCGACCCTCCCGAGCACGTCCCCGCTCGCGGGGAGTTTCTCGTCTCAAAACAAATCGCGCCAGTTACATAAGGCGACGGCTCCAGCTCGGCACAGGCTCC